ACAAATGTGCCGAAACGGTTTAGCTTAGTTGTACACCATGTCTACTCTTTGCATAGGTTTAAATGATTGTTCCTAAATTGTGGCCTACTGAGTTCCTTGTTCCTAAGAATAGCCCTGAAGTTCCTGAATACATTGAGTCTTTGTTAGAATATTCCAATCTCTCAAAAGAAAGGGACTATTATTGTTATTCATGATCCATTCACCACCACCTTCACAAGTCCTTCTGATCAATAACTAGTTTATTTGTGTGTGCTGTCACTGCTTTGAGGATGTCGTGAATATATTTGTCAAATATTTTAGCTAGAGTACAAAGATGTAGTTTAGGGAAGAATTTTCGTGGTTTAGTCTACTTGTTTTGTGAATATCCCTTTAACTACGTGTGCATGCTAATTGTTTTGATTCCGTGTGGTGATTATCGTAAGTCCCGTTGTTCAGTTTGCTTGAGGACAAGCAAATGCTTAAGTGTGGGGGAATCTGATAAGTCCGTATTTAGACACGCATTTGATGCGTGTTGGAGTTGGATTTTGATGGTTTCCCCAGCTTTAAGGTGTTGCAAGTCTCAATTTTAGCTCAAGTTATGTTTACCGGGCGTTGGTTCGAGTTTTGTGTTGTTTGTAGTCAAAATCAGGGAATTTGAATCTGGCACCGGCACTTGAGGAACAATCGGGATGATTTGAGAAGCATTTGAGAATGATTTGATAGCTTTGGAGGTCACCGGGAGATTCACAATGAAGATTTGAAGGAAAAAGAGCTCTAGGACTGGCTTCGGGATAAAAAGCAGACGAATAGAGCTTGAAAACGACGATCAGGATGACCTTCTGTCAATAGTTCAATCATATCTCTTTGTAGAAACAACCAATGGACACGATTCAAGTTTCATAGGAAAGCCAACTTCAAGGGATACAAATCATATGAAGACACCTTTGCGAGAATCAGAGAGGAAGAAGGTGAAAACAGACGATGAAGTCAGATGATCTCTGCTGCGATTTCAGAAAGACACCTTCCACCGTTTTGATCATATCTCTTGATTGGATGATTCAAATCACATTCGGCAAATTGGGGTGGATAGAGGACTTCATTATCTACAACTTTCATGAAGGAAGTTTTGTCAAATTCGGAAGTTAAGTAGGCACGATCGTGCCCTCAAAATCAGACACGATCGTGCCTGAAGAGAAAAGCACCGCGGAGCTACTGCCCGCCAGGCACGATCGTGCCTGGAGGGAGGCACGATCGTGCCTGCCCAAAATGCGTGTTTTTGCTCCGGAGGCACGATCGAAGGCACGATCGTGCCTGGCATCGTGTCTGGCTCCGAAAATCCTAATTCAGCTCAAATTTCACCCGATTTTTCTATTTAAACAGCCTGTAAACCCCCGTTTTCAAGGGGGGAGCTTAGAGAGAGTGCCTAGCACGAAATTTAGAGGGCTTTTCAGCCTTGTTCATCAATCTTTTGGGATTCTTTGTAAGTTCCACCTTTTTAGTTAATGACAATTAATTCTTTTTATTCCAATTCTATTGATTCTTCAATTATGAATTGTGAGTAGTTTTAATTAGGGATTTGGGATTGATGAAGGGGTTAATCATGATTGATGGCTAGATTCTTGTCGGTTTAATTGCATGAATGCCGTTTAATTTGTGTTTGAATAATTTAACTGATATCTCTTGTAACCTAGATGGCCACTAGAATTACAATTGCTTATAGAATAAATTAAGAGAGATCTAATTTGTTCTAGGACACATTCACACACACTTAATCGTTCGCTAAGAGATTAGTAGCGATTAAGGGGCCGTAAGCTCGCTCGTCTTGGCAATAATTTAGGATCCTGTCGCATGAGAGATCAGCCTGGTCCCCTAAATTATTGTACTCTACGCCGCGAGAGCGGTAAGAACTTAGTAATGATTAGCTAGGCTCAATTAAATTAATTTCATGTAATTAGGCCTGATCTGCCAGAAATCTGGTTACCCCGGAATCGATCCCTATTCCCTTCGTCATTAATTAGAAAGAACCCCCTAGGTTAATTGTTCGCATTAATTTTATTTTCCAAACCAACCAATCTCGCACGACGCTTTTATTTTATTTTCTTTTTAATCGCTGAATTTAGTTAATTCTTAATTCCCTTTTGTCCGTCCCTGTGGAGACGATACTCGTACTTACACCACTTTTCTACAACCATTTTAAGTGCGAGAAAACTCACATTAGTCTGGTACTTACGAAATGTCGAAGAAAAGATTATTTTTTTGCCCATAGCATCCCATCGTCCATTGGCTATGGAAGAAAGATATCTGACGGTGACACTTTAACAGTAACACTATTTTAGTTTTAAAGTGTCACTCAGACACATAACATTTCTGACATTTAAGTATGACTGATGATATAAGGATATTTTGACCTTGCACCCCATCTTTTGGTAATATTGGACTTTGACCCCTTTTTTAAAAAAATTAGATTTAGCACTCTATTTCCCTTAGAAAGCCTTTGGCTTTGCACCCCCATTCAATATTTGTTCACCTAAAAGGTGGGGTGCAAAGTCAAAATTTCCCATGATACAATTGTGTCGATGAATGCTAGTGATATTTAATCATTTTACCATCCAAACTTATATTTTCAATTTCTTAAAACGTTTACTTTTAGAATAATTACTGAAAATTTCAGAAATTTCAAACCTACGTGCATGTTACCACGGTTCACAAACTCTCAATTCAAATTGATTTCTTGGAGAGAAAACATAAGTGGGATGTCTTCAATTAAAATTTCATAAGATTTTAAAGGATTAATATTTTAATGGATTTTTATGGAGAGAAAACATAAGTGGGACTTAAATGGCTTCAACCTTTTTCAGTGTATCGGCAACCTAGGTGTCTTCTTCGATGAGTCATCCTCCACTAAAGGTTCGGTTGGGTTTATTTGAAAGACAAAATAAAGGAAAAACGGTATGCTAGAGATGAATTACAAGGCATGGCGAAAAGGTGGTTGAAGAGAGGAGTGAACCCCTGGCGATCTAAATCCACGCGAAAGCTGTATACGTAGAAATCCATTGAAATCCCATAGGGGTCGAAGATATTTTGGATGAAATGTTTTAGGATGTTTTCTTTTGGACTGTTTTTAGTCCCAGACCAGACCAGATCAGACCAGACCAGACTTAAACAGACTAGACCAGACTTAAACAGACCAGATCAGACCAGACCAGACTTGGATAGTTATAAAATACACATAGACCAGACGTTTACCAGACCAGACCAGACCAGTTCAGACCAGACCAGACCAGATCAGGCCAGACCAGACCAGCAAATTTCAGTCCAAAAGAAAACATCCTTATGCATAGAAATCTACTAGAATCTTTTAAAATCCATTTGAGCAAATAATAATTGTCATCCATGGTAAGATTGAGGACACCCATATTTTAATGGAATCCATTGAACTCCATATTGAAAACACCTAGATTGTGATGAAATTCTAAAATCTTTTAAAATCCGTTAAATCCATATTAAGGACACCCCTAAAAATCCATTCCTCACTTGATGCAGATTCACATGGCCTGTGCAGAAGGAGCAATCTTTTATATAGGTATATATTCTAATATACTAATTTTTATATTCTTAGATCTCCTAAAGAGAGGCAATTCTGACTGAGGGTATTTAGAATCTGTTTTGATGTTATCGAGTCAATAGTAACACTTACTATTGGTTGCTACTACTACCTCCGTCCCTAATAAAACTTCCAATTACCGGTTACGAAGTTTGACCAGCGATAAAGTTAAATGATCCCTGTGAAAACTCTGATTATTTTTAGAAAATAAAACTTACATATTCAGAAATTACATTAAACCCGCTACAAAGCCTTCAAAAAATAATTCAATTTTTATAAATTTTTTATATATAAAGTAAGAGTTTAAGTGTGATTTAAGTTGACTCTCGAAAAGCGAAATGGAAGTTTATTTAGGGACGGAGGGAGTACATACTAACATACATGTATTTTGTAGTCACGTAAAAGGTATGATGCATCTCCTTTCAAGTTTAGAAAACGATGGGCTGATCAGCGATGCATATGTATTTACAGAACTAGTGATGGACCTTTTTCAAATGTTGGTAATTCCCAATGTTCCAATTTCCTGATGAGTGCCCTTTTGATTGACATACTTTTTTATTTGCCTTATTGTGTGACATAAACAAAATCAGGGTTGTTTCATTTTATAGTTTTCTGTACTTGTAAAAATGTTATCATGTACCAAGTGACCTGCTTTGTATATTGGTGTCGTCTTTTAGGAGTGCAAAACTTTTTGCCTTTGTGGTTTTCCTTGTTTACTGTTATTTTGTCCCCGTAATATTAACCCATGTAGTGTGAGGCAAAAACTCAATCGTAAGTTGTGTTACATGGATTTTACTTTCTTAGATAACAGATACATTTCTTTATTTTCTTATGGATATAAACTTTTCTGAACTTTTCGATCCTTTTAACAATGAGATAAACATTTTCAATATTCTCCATAAAATGGTTCACTCATGGAGCGAGTCATGCTTCCCAACAGGGTAAATCTTTAATTTGTAAAGAACTAGAGTTGCCCCCCTTAAAATAAAAGTAAACGTGATATTAACATTCTGATTCTGCCAGAACTTCCCAATGTAATTTTTCCGGGAACATTTGTGGTGTTTCTTTCTCATTTTGTATTTCAAGTGTTGGTGATGCAGCCATAAGACTAAAAGCAAGATGGCACCGTGTTGTAGCTAGGGGCACTACAGAAAAACAAGAGATTGGTAGGGATTTTTGGCAAATATTTTTCGAAAATGGCAGGGATATGCCAAATCCGTGCGAAAAATAGTTTGACACGAGCTTTTTGGCACGAAATTATTGGTAAATTCGTGCCAAATCCGTGCTAATCCCATCATTTTTTTGTAGTGGGGTAGACTAGTCATGGATCCTGGACCGGTATCGGTTCAGGTAATTCTAATCTTGGGGCTGTGTATGGGACCGATTTTAAGAACTACAGCACATGATAGGGGGATTAAGAGTATTAAGAACAAACATGCTAGTTGCATGCATGATTATATTAAATTCTAGTTTTTATCATATAGATGTATGACAATGTAGAATTATTTATTGGATTGAGTGGGTTGCATGTATATATATATATATATATGGATTCGGTCGAGCCTCATTTTGATAACTCTGATCGAAACTCGGATTGGAGATGACTAATCACATTCTTGTCCAAGAGGAATGCTTTACTGAGAACATCAGCAAAAATGGGAGGATCAGTACCAAAAAGAGCATATGGTATAAGGATGGCTCCTGGATCTTGGCTCCCTAGAGCAGCAAACACAGCTGCATTGCTTCCTCCAGTGTTGTATAGGAAACGAATTAGCCCTTTCGGGAAGACAAAAATGTCTCCAGGACGAAGCGTCTTGGCATAGAGCTTGTTCCTAGAGTCAATGAATCCAGCATATATTGTTCCCTCCAACACCGTTATAACCTCGGTGGCTGGAATATGGGTGTGGGGTGGACTCATTCCATATGGTCCAAAGTCCATACGCCCTATTGAAACACCCTGCGTGTTTAGCCCTGGTAGGATTTCCGCTCCGATTGGAGACGGCATGTATCTTAACCGATTTGATGTGTTTCGTGGGTTGTTAAACTGGGCTTGCAAGTAGAAATCACCAGCATTCACTTCATTTATGTTCTTGCATATCTTTCCATTCACAAACACTGCACATTCCATTGCATAAAGGTAAGTGAAGTAAAACAAACTTACTTAGGCCTCACATGTGGACTATGGTCGGTGTCCTATTATACAATCTTCATCCTTTTTAAGTTCTGTATATAGTATCTTGTGAGTAATGGAATTGCATGAATGAGATCATCTTTTCGAGAAGGTAGAAGTAATATAAATAGAAATATACTTGTTACATTTAATCCTAAAGAAATATAAGTACTTCTTGAATCCTTTAAAAATATGAAGGATATATTGGGATGTGCATATACATGACCAGCAGCTAGAATAGTTAACCGGTTTGTTTATAGCAGGGACAAATGAATCTCATGTAGTGGTATTGTTACATTTTAATACATTAACTCTTAAATGAATCAAAACAGTACCTTAATTATACACAAATGTTTCAATTTGAGATTGTATTCAAATTTGCGGCCAAAAACTCACACGTGGCGGCAGATATTTTATTCGCAAAGTCTACTTCACCTTATTTTGTCCATATAATCACTATAAGATGACTCTACACATGGAATTATGATCGCTATGAAGGATTTTTTTGGCACAAATTTGAGTAAAATCTCAAGTTGAAACATTTAATGTATAGCTATGGTAGTGATTTGATTCGTTTAAGAGTTAAAGTACCAAAACAGAACAATACTAATAGTTAAGGACCAATGGACCATTAATGCATTTGACCTGTGTATAGCACATACTCTGATTCACAAGATAGTTAATTGGGAAAGTTCCCGAAATAGGACTAAAAAAGTTTGAAAATTCCAAAATAGTACTGTCATGTTTTTATTCCCAAAATAGGATTAATTACTGTCAAGTTTGGAAAATACTGTCATCTTTAAAGCCTAGTACTGCCAAAACATGGCAGTACTTAGTCCTATTTTGGGAATAAAAACATGGCAGTCCTATTTGTGGAATATATAAGTGCTTTTAGTCCTATTTAGGGTAATTTCTCTAGTTAATTATTCGTTATAAGTCACATAAGAAGTATGTTTTGCGTGAAAAGTGAAAATGAATTAATGCTTTTGGATCAATCTAATGCTCTTTATTTGGCCTTTGTATAGGACTTACATGATGCACTTTTTGCGGTGGCTGAAATTTTAGTTTGTTTAGTACCATTGTCATCACTCTCATCATATTCAGAGTCCATAGATCTCAAATTCTATGCACTAAACTTTTGTTTCTTTTCATGGGGAAGACTCATTTTATTTGAACCATTATATGTTGATGTCTGTGGGAAATTGTTATGCTACAACTTATCCTTGTTCTATATTTAAACAAGTTGTCACTTGAGTTCCTAATTGTTTTCAACCTTGCTAGAGTGATGGAAATTAAACAAAGGGATAACTGACGATATTCATGACAATGCAGTATAATAAAATTGCAATATAGAAGAACAAGGCTTCATTTTGGGAAGTCAGAAGAAACTTATTTTAGGAGTCTTTAGACAAAGAGATGAAAGTGGTTGATTAAATATAATGCATACCCTTAGCCTCAGAATCCTTGACAGCCACACAAAAGTCCTGCAACTTGTCGGGATCTGACGCACGAGTGAATGGAGAAGCATCTAAAGCTATAGCTGCAATGGCCACAACTATGATGAGAAGCATATTACCGCTCATATTTTTTTTTGGAGAGTATGTATGTGTTTAATAGGTGGTATAAGAGATGGAACCCTTATTTTTGTCTTAGGATGTGAGGGAAATTATCACAAATGGATGGCTTTTTATAGGTATTATAAATGTAAATCATAAATGGTTTAAGAATTGTATCTTTATATATATAATAAGGGATCAAATTTTTACCAAAAAAGGGATGAAATACAAACACCTCTTAATTTACAAATCACAAACTCATTTTGGTCGTTCGATGAGTTGATCTAAAGGTTATAAAGGCACAGTGTCATTTTTGTAATTTAAGCCAACTTATTTAGGATGCATGTATTTGAATGTTAATATACAACTACTATTTTATATCTCAATAATATGCAACACTTTGACCTCAATATGCAATACAAATAACGTAAATGATGCATCGTACAAACGTTTGCACAATAAGTACTGTTTGTACCTAATTTATCCCTAGCTATATATATATATATATATATATATATATATATATATATATATATATATATATATATATATATATATATATATATATATATATATATATATATATATATATATATGAGCCCGTTTGGTAGCACCAAAATCGGCTGTTTTGGCTGATTCTGCTGAAATTTATGATATTCTGGCTGGAGTGGCTGTTTTGGCTGATTCTGCTGATTTAAGAAAAAAATATTTTAAAAATATATTTTATTAATAAATTAAAGAAAAAATTATATGTAAAAATAGCTAAAATGGTCTTCTACAGTAACTTCAGCCAATACAGCCAGAAAAGTAACTCCAACCTTACTTTTTCGGCTTATTACACAATTCAGCGCGTGAAAGTAAAAGTTACGTGTTTGGTGAAAAAGCTGGCTGATAAGCCTGATAAGCCGAAAACAGAGTTCTCCAAACGGGCTCTATATATATATATAGGGACCGGTTCCAGTGAGAAAGAACTCCCAGGAGAGAAATGAGAAGTAATATAAATTAATTGCCTTTCCCCGGCAACGGCGCCAAATTTGATGGGCACTTTGTCACGGTGCGTCAAATTAAATTCAATACTAACACTTATACGTAGTATAGCGTAGTAGTGTTCGTATCCACAGGGAAAGGAATAATTCTCTTTTTAGTAAAACTAGTAAATAAAGGGGGGTTTTGGGATTGAGTGGTTTAATTTAATCAAACACGAAGATGAACGACTTATATGAGATGTAATTCAAGAATAAAAAGGACTTGGCATTGCTACTTTCCACTTGTTGATATATTTTAGTCGATCATTGTTATATCTATAACTTATCCTCTCTCGAATACTCAATCGAGGAGTATATCCAATTCATCGAGGGTAGTTATTAACAACGACCGTTCATTAATAACCCTTACTATTAGTCAAGTATAGAACACTGCCATATACCGACTTGATAGTAGCATTTAATCTCTTAACTCCTTGATGAACTCAATTGAGATTGATAACCTCAACACAACGGTTTCGGTTTAGCCAACAAAATTAATCTCTCTTAAGTTTATTAACCACAACCGTGCATTAATAAACCGAAGTTACTTACTTGTGAAACCATCAACGATTAACCATCGGTTCGTTGATCGTCTCTAGTAATAATTAATATATGAAACAAAACTAGTTGATCCTTTAAGTAATGTTCAAAATATTAATATGAAATATGAATAGAAATTAATTAATACTCAAGGAAGAATATTAAAGAAGATGAATCCTACTATAATTAATATCAAGATGTTAACTAATTGTCATCTTAGTAAGACTCCCCAATATTAACATAGAGGAAGAAATAACTATTACTATAACTAATGTCAAGATGTTAACTAATTGTCATCTTAGTAACACTCCCCAACATTGATATAGAAATAGTATTTAAAGAAAGAATTAATATTCAAGGAAAGAAGTTAAGAAAATAACTCACAACTTTAATAATCAACAAGCTTCAAGAGCAACACCAAGTAATGGAAGTTTAGCTCCTCATTTGGAGACTAAACATGCTAGAAAATATAAAGAAATGCTATTCTAAACTGAGCTTAAGAGAGTATGTGAATTGGTGAATAAATGGGAAGGAAATGAGGTGTATTTATAGGTGTTTGGAGCTGCCAGGGCCATTTACCCGACCGGGTTTTTGAGACACCCGACCGGGTAAAAGGTATATCTTTGCCAAATCTTCACCTGCACGTTCAATTGCCCCCCCAAATCAGATTTTATATTCGGATCAAGTCAATACCCGATCGGGTAAATGCTTTACCCAACCGGGTAAATGACTATTTTTCCAAATTTTCACTTGATCTTGTTCCGTTTCACTTTCCTTGAGCTTTCCAAGGATACTTTTGATGATCTTTACCTAGTTAAAGCTCAGAATAATCCTAATCTAAACAAATTACAAACAAAATAGGAAAAATAAAGTATTACACCAAAAGTGTGTAATTTCCCAAACAACAACAAATAAAACTAGTTAAAATTACACACATAAACCATAACAATTCTATATTATCAACTACCTTTGGCTAGCATTCAGTGAAGCAAAACCAGTGCCAGAGGTATATCTACAACAGTTCTAGAGCTCGATGCAGACACCCAGTGAGAAGGATCGCTCAAAAATCATGGCCAAACTCAACGACGTGAGAGTGGTGCTGACACCCTCCACAATCAGGGAGACACTGAAGCTCCCGGTGCTCAAAAACTACACACCACTCCCCTCAAACGAAGAGTTGATAAAGGGGATGAAAGATCTGGGTTATGACAACCCGTTGCCCCTACTGTAAAACTTCACCATCTCCAACTTGCCCCACCCGTGGAAGAGTCTGTTCGGCCTGGTGAACAAGTGCCTATCTCCTAAGCACGCCGGACACGACATATGCAACAAACAGATCCTACAAATCTTCCACGGGATCGCCTTTGACAAGCAGTACGACATGGCCCAGCTCTTCTAGACAGAGCTAATGGACCAGGTGAAGATGAAAGGGAACAAAGGCAGCACCATTCCTTATGCTCGGTGGCTGGCATTGACGATCCACAACATTATGGAGGCCACCCCGACCATGACAAAGCGTAAGGAAGACAAGCACTTCACTGCCCCCAAGCTCAAATACTTCCAAAAGGACAAGAACAAGGCTGAAGCACGGCCTATCCCGGACTCCCTGCTTGATCTAGCAAACCCGAGGGACGAGGCAGTCATCGACTATAAAGAGTCGCTGAAGAGAACAGTCCCAATGGTTTAGCAAAACCCAGCTGGACCTTCCCAAGGGACAAAGCCGAGTGAAGGTGAAGGTAAGAAAAAGAAGAGTGCCCCCAAGCCACAGAAACCAGTGGCAGTCCGGCCTAATGATGATCAGTCTGCTAACTCTTCCGAGAGGACCACACTGCTGAGGGCCACCCTACCAATGCTGAGGACACTGCCAATGAACCATCAAGCCAGAACCCTTCAAATAAGGCTGGTGGTGAGGCCTCTGATAGCATAGCCAAGAGGAATGATGATGATGATGATGATGATGATGATGCAGATGATGATGATGACATGGAAGGAGTCCTGATCAGCAACAAAAAAAGAGCCGGAAAGAGGGCCATTGCGATCGACTCAGACACCTCATCGGACAACGAAGAGGCCGCTCACTCACACCGACCTCTCAAAGGTATCATTATAAGTGAGCAACGCTCCAAGCAAAGAAATGACAAATCTGCATCATCCAAGCCTAAGAAGAGGCTGAGAAAGAAGAGCTCAGTGGAAGAGGAGCTAGAGCTGTACGATGACTGCGACACCTTCCTACAAATAGACCGAACCACGCCCCTAGGAGCAGGAGTTGACCTTGTCAGTTCCCGGGTAGAAGTCACAGCATCTAGTTCAACTGCGCATGCACAGCCATCTCCCATCCACTCTCCAACCTCCCAACAGGCTGGAGTTTCAATAACTTAAGGGGAATTCATACCGACCTCGCTGGTTCCCTCGGAATCAGTTGAGAGACTTAGTGGTCAACAACCCCAGATCGACCACTACCCCCATTCATTCAATCACATCGAGTCTAGGTGTCTCTATTCCTACATTTTCCAATTTTTCTAGGACACCTACACTTTTCACAGCACATACAGGTGCACTCACCCTGAATGCAACGACCGGAGTGATAACTATGATGGTCGGAAGTCCTGCTACGCCAACAATGATTCCATCATTGAACGCAGGCCACACATCAGTTGTCTTCACTGATGCTGTGACAATAGTTACAACCCCTGTAACTGGAACCACTATCCCTGAAGACCTTCTTCTATACCTGAACAGCTATCTAGAGTCAGCCATTAAACCATGGGTGCGCAAAGCAATAACCGCTAGTGCACAAGGCTCTGGAAAACCCCCAGCTGGTCAGGATATACCAACCGAACCTCAAACCTCTCAGCCCCCAACTATCTCAATCCCAATTTCCCAACCATTAACCCTAGGAAACCGACAACCATCCACCTCAGGGGGAACCCAGGATACAGAACTAGTATCCTCCCCTACAACGACCAAACCCAATCTCAGAACGATATCCTTCGATGACCTCGTAGCTGAGATCTTCGATCGTATCCTAGAGACGGATGAAGGCAACCGTACCCCATTTCAAAAAGTCCCTCTCCTAACTCTGGATATTCAGAGCACATGCCGTGAGAGTCTCTGTGGAACTAAACATTCACATGAGGATCCTGATGATTCGGATTCTCATGAGGGGGAGAACAAGCGCCAGCAGATACTTGAGCATGTTGCGTCTACAAGCCAAGCCCCACAGCCAAACCAACCCTCTACCTCAATTAATGAACAACCCACTACTTCAGCCAGCCACAAATCCCTAGCCTCTCTTTCTAGCATGGTCGAGTTAGACAAAAGATTCTGAGGCGCATCTCCTATAGATGTTGACCAAGGACGGAATGGAAGTCCTGATGTTGTTACCTCGAGTACATCATTTGTATCAGGCCATCAGTTAGAACCTAGTTCAAAACTGATGATAACGGGCAATCCTCGCGATCCTGGTGTTACTCACGACAGGTCGCTACCACAGCAGCAGCAAGTTCCCTCTAGCGAAGACAATGACCGAATGCATGATGAACTTGAAGAATTACTTGTGCATAACAAATGATCTCAGCTATGGACAGACATT